CTGCTCTCTGCTCTGGGGGGAGTGGGGTCTAGTGGTTAGAGTGGGGGTGGGGATGAGAGCTCAGGACTTCTCTCTGACATGGTTTCCCATCTATAACGTGGGGAGGGCGCTTAGCTACTGTGGGCATCGCCCGTAGAGCCCCTCAGAGGGGAGGCGCCAGAGAAGTGGGAGTTGGATTTTCTACCTGACAAAGTTGCAAACACCAGGTGAGATCCCCCGGCTGGGCTCTGGGTCAGCAGAGCAGTGGAGTGAGCAGGGGCCGTCTGGGCCAGAACTGTCCAGAGGAGGCGAATAGAAACCGCCTGGGGGCTGGGACGGGAGTGAGTCCCGGTCAGAGCAGTTCTGCACTGAGGGATTGGGATGGGGTCTCGGCAGCCGAGCTGTGACCTGGGTTTTCTCTTGCCAGGTCACTGTCCTGAATGGATCAGACATGAAGTCGCTGTATAACTTCTCTGGAGAGCAGGTGAGCAGGATGCGCCAGCCACATAGGCCAGGTCCGTGTGCTTGGCAGGGGCTCTTCTGACGTCTGAGCGGAGCTTTGGAACGAGGCCACCCCGAAGGATCGAACGAGCCCCATGGGCAGTGGGTGATGCCCGCTAGGCCCCTCGCTGGGTGGGAACTGCTAGCTCTTCCCAGGGGGAGGGGCACGACCCTTACCCAGACTGGGTGTCCCTGACCCAGAAGGCCCCTGGGTAGCACCATGGGGGTGCTAGAAGTGCTTCCTGTGTTGGAAATAACCCTTTCAGCGAGGGGAGGAGGGTGAATAATCTCCTGCAGCATGGGGAAAAAGCCCCTTCCCCAGCATTTGTGCCAGTGCCCGAGAAACAGCAGACATACCACCCGAGCCAGCAGGCAAGGGGCCTGTCGCTGTCTTGGCACGTGGGTGGCGTGTTAATAGAAAGATCGTCTTGCGAGCGCTCTCCCCGGGCTGGTGGCCCCACGGCCCCAGCAGCAGTGGCTGCCTCTGTAGAGGGGTGACTTTGGCTGCATCCCTGGTTGCAAAGGGGCAGAGCCCAGGGCAGCGATACTGGCTAGAGCAGCTGGGCCCTGGCCCTTCGCATGGCCCTTAGCAGCTGGGGATGAGATGGGGAGCTGGCGCCGTGCGGCGTTGGGTCCCCGCAGGCTTGGGGTGTCTGCGCCAACACTGGGGGGAGGGGGGGCTTCGTCCCCTTGAGGGAAGTGGGGGACTAGAAAGGGAAGTTTTGAAAATCCCTTTGTCATCCTGGCAGCATCCCTGTCTCAGGCCAAGGATCGGACGCACCAGCTCCCTGCCCCAGCCCCCTGCTCACCACAGGGAGTCAGCCCGGAGCCCCTGTTTCACCCGGCCTGCTGCAGAGCCGGGACCAGCCCATGGCTAGGCCCAAGTGGAGGGAGTTCCTGGCCCCCAGCCTCTCATGTGGGTCCCGCCCTGGGAGGTTTCCCCACTTGTGGCGGGGCGGGGGGTGGGGGGAGAATCCATCGGGAATCTGCAGCCTAATTGCCGAACCCAGCGCTCCCTTTCTCCCCCCCAGATGGCAGCCTACTTCGGCTACGCGGTGGCTGCTGCTGACGTGAACAGTGACGGGTGAGTGCAGGGTCCTGCTAGCCGGGGTGTGTCGGTGCCGTTATTGGGGGTTCGATGGATTAAGGGGGGCAGTTGGGTCAAGCAGGGAAGGTCTGGGCTGTGTTGAGGGGGTGGGGGTCGGGCATTGAAGGCATAGCAGTGTGTGGCGGAGGGGAGGCACATGGGGGCCTGTGTAGTGCGTGGAGGGGTGGGGGGTGGGCAGGGCTCGGAGCCCGCTGACCCAGCAGCATCCCCTATCGTAGGGGATGGGACAGAACAGCATCCCTGAGCCCAGTTCTCCCCCCACCCCCACGTTCTGGGTCACACACTGGGAGAAACCCCTCCACGCCCAAAACCCTTCCGCTTCATTGCAAGATATGGCCAGGTGAGAGACATCCTCTCCCCCACCCCCACCATGGCCATACAGTCACTGCCGTGGCTGCTGCAGGTCTAATGGAGCGGGGCCTGGGCGGGAGCGGGGCCTGGAGGGGTGTGTGGGTGGGAGCCCGGGGGGCTGCATGGGAGCAGGGTCCGGGGGGGTGTGGGCGGGAGTGGGGGCCCGGGGGCTGTGTGGAAGCGGGGGCCAGGGTGTGTGTGAGCGGGAGCGGGGCCCGGGAGCTGTGTGGGAGCGGGGGCCGGGGTGTGTGTGAGTGGGAGCGGGGGCCGGGGGTGTGTGGGCAGGAGTAGGAGCCAGGGTGTGGGTGGGTGGGAGCTGGGCTCCGGGGGTGTGTGGGTGGGGGCAGAAGTGGGGCTGGGGTGTGGGTGGGTGGGAGTGGCAGCTCCTCTCCCTTCTGAGGAAGTGGCTGACCGCAGCCCTTGGCTCCTGGCGCCTCCCCCAGCAGGCCCTGATCTGATTCAAACACACACACCCCGCTCGTGCGCACCCCCGCCCCACTCATCCCCCTGTGTGTGCACCCCCACACACACACAACTCATCCTCCTGCGTGTGCACACACACACCCCACCCTGCCCTCCCGCACATACCTATGCACACACCCTCTGCGTGTACACACTTACAAGGCTACTTGAGCCCCAGAGGATCCTAGCCCCTGGGTCTCACTAGGTGAAGGGGATAGAGTCGGATGGCAGCATTGGAGCCAGGGGGTCGGCTTCTCCCCAGCCCCGGGGGGGGAGCAGGGAGCTCAGCCGGGGCTGTGTGGCCGGTTCTGCCTAGGTCGAGCCTGCTAGCAGGGACCTGGTTAGCACCGCGTGTGACGGGGGGTTGGATGCAGACATCTTCCCGCTGGGCTGCACCCTCGGTTCACCCCGGCAATGACTGTTGGTGTGTCTGCACTGCAGTCCGATAACCGCCCCTGCCACTGTCTCAGGCTAAGGGGCTGTTTCACTAGCTCTGTGACTCTCCCACCTCGCAGGGCCCTAGAGCCCAGGCTCCAGCCTGAATCCCAGGGTCTAACCCGCAATGAAACAGCCCCTTAGCCTGAGCCAGCTGGCACAGGCCAGCCATGGGTGTTTAATTGCAGTGTAGACATACCCTGTGGGGCCAGGTGACCCTGCTCTGTGCTCTAGCCCCATAAAGGGGCCTGGTTCCCAAGGCTGGAGGTGTTTCATCTGCCACGGGCAGGTGCCTGTGGCCCCAATCCAGCTGACTTCTCAAGGCTCAGGCAGGGCGACCTCATGGTACCTCCAGCAGGGGCTGGGCTGGCAGAGACAATGTCTGAGCTCCTATCACAACACAGCTCTGCCCACACATGCCAGCATGAGACGCACGTGCAGCTGTTGCCATGCAGCTGCCCTCTCTGTCCTCTTTTGCGGGTGTTAACTGGCTGTGGAAAAGCTTTAAAAACTCACATTAAGTGGCCATCCTTAGGTTTCAGAGTTAACACGACACAGATGTTTTTTTTTAAAAAAGCGTTCTTCCCAGCTGTCAGGGTGAGAGGCTTTATAGCAAACAGCTGTTCGGGTTCTCCAGCATGTAGGTGGCAAGCCCGGGGCAAATGACACCTTGCCCAAGTGGGCACTGGGAAGTCAGGGCTCCAGGGTTCTGGTCCCAGCTCTGGGAGGGAGTGGGGTACAGTGGCTTGGAGCAGGAGTCTCGTGGAGCGTCAGGACTCCTGGGTTCTAGTCATGGCCCCGTCGCCCCTGAACACGTAGTGAGTTGGGGCGGGAGGGAGGGGGGTTCTAGGTGGCTCGTGGGCCCAGTGTGGGGGAGGGATTATTGGCGAGTGAGTGCACCCCACAGTGGCAGCTCCTCTCCCATGGGGCTGGGCCTGGCTCCCTGCTCCAGCATGCAGGGTCGCCGCATCATTTGGGTCTGGCCTGGCTGCCCCTCCAGCAGGTTGCGAGGCCCAGAGGGGGAGCCAGCAGGGCCGTCTTTAGGAACTGCGGGGCCCGATTCGAATACCCGGCGGCGTTCTGGGGCTTCGGCGGCTGGGGTCCTTCACTCTTTCCGGGTCTTCCGCGGCGCTGAAGGACCCCCCGCTGCCGAAGTGCCGCCGAAGACCCGGACCGCCGCCAGGTGAGTAAAAAAAAATTAAAAAGCGTCTTAGGCGCGGGGCCCTCTTAGGCGTGGGGCCCGATTCCGGGGAATCAGGGGAATCGGCCTAAAGCCAGCCCTGGGAGCCAGGCTCAGCCTTTGGGGTAGGAGCCCCCACTGTGGGGTGAGTGCGAGGCGGGCTCACTCTCCAAACACCCACGAACACCCCAGGCTCCTCTCTGCCCAGGGCCAGGAACAGGGCTATAGATAAGCAGGCTGCTGGAGCAGCGCCACCAAGCATCCATGTGCTGTGAATGTCACCCCCTGCTGAACATGTGGTGGAAGGGCGAGTTACCCACCGGCTTGGGAGCCCTGTCAACTGCTCTAGCATGAGCCCAGATTCTAAGCCCTGGTCGGTCTCTCTCTCTCTCCCCTCCACTCGAAGCCTGGACGACCTGCTGGTGGGCGCCCCGCTGTTCATGGAGAAGACAGAGGACGGGCGGGTTCAGGAGGTGGGCAGAGTCTACATCTACCTGCAGCAGCCCCACGGCATGGAGCCCAATGCCTCCATGGTGCTGACCGGGCACCAGGAGTTCGGCCGATTTGGGAGCACCATCGCCCCACTGGGAGACCTGGATCAGGATGGCTATAACGGTTAGCGCACGCGTGTGTATGATTGTCGCCCCCTGCTGGCTGCAGCCGATGTAGGATTTAAGCTAGGCGTGTGCGCCGGTTTAGTTTGACCCCTCCCTGCCACATGTCAGGGGCCTGGTGCTGGAGCCAGAGCGTGCAGGGTCTGGGTTCTGGGATGACGTGCCCCCTGCAGGGTGGAATTACCAACTCTTCTGTTATTTCAACTCCGTCAGTAGCTACCAGAGGCAAAAATAGCCCAGGGAAAATTGGAAACACAAGTGCAGACACAGGGGCCTGAATGCCAAGCCTCTTGGGGCGGGGGTCAGCAGCTGCTTGGGGGGTCACAGTCCTGCTAACCTCAGAATCCTTTGCAGGTCCCCGCTGGTGTTGGAGCATCAGCCACACGTTGCAGCTGATGCTGGGGGTTCATTTCATTAGGCCCTGAAGGGGCTGCTCGCCCCGTGTGAGGGATGAGATGGGAGTGGGCACCTGGCTGGGCAGCAGCTGGTCCTGTTTGGCGTGGCTGGCCTGCTCTGCTAGGCTACGAATGTACAGGAATCCGGATGCCTGATGCCCACTAGCCTGGAAAGGAGACGCTGCTGGCCTGGGCCGGGGCATGGCAGGGGCTGGCCTCCAGGTTGCTCTGAGTACAGGGGATTCCTGGGCCGCCTTAGACAAGCAGTTGTCAGGGGTGGTCTAGTTCTTACGCAGACCTTCCGTGAGTGCCGGGCACTGGACTAGGCGACCTAGTGAGGTCCCTTCCAGCCCTGTGCTTCCAGGGTTGAAAAGCTCCTTATCACACACTGAGCTGTTCCACTGCCCTCGCCTGGCCCCTGAGCCGCCCCCCACCTGTGGGCCAGCCTGGGAGCTAGATCTGGTCTGTGGCGACCGGAAGTCCCTCCCCAGCCAGCCATTCGGGGTCCCCCGGGTGAAAAGAGTTTGACGGGTCTCAGCCTTGTTCTCTTCCGTGGCAGCCTCGGCGCCCTGTGGAGACCCAGCGGCCCTCGCCCACCTAGGGCTGGGCAGGGAGGGCAGGAGTGTGAGATAGAAACCAGGGGAAGGGTGAGTCCCTGCAGCCCTTGCTGCCCAGCATTGAAAGGGACGGCTCCACGGATGAGCTTGGCTCCTGGTTGCTGGCTGTCTTTCCCAGCCATGAACCCCCAGGCCTGTTTCCCTGCTGCCTGTGCTGGGGGCGACGGATGGGAGCGGGGTCCGGCTCTTCCAGGGTGCCTCACGCTCCTCTGTTGACCTTGGTGTTTGCCTCCCCCCAGATGTTGGCATCGGGGCGCCCTTCGGCGGGGAGGAGCAGCAGGGCATGGTGTACGTGTACAACGGCCAGGCAGGCGGGGTGAACGCCCAGCCCTCCCAGGTCCTGAAGGGGCACTGGCCGCCCAGCAGCTCGCCCGACTTCTTTGGGTTCGCCCTCCGCGGAGCCAAGGACCTGGACGGAAACGGCTACCCAGGTGAGGGCTGGTGCAGGGGAGACTTGGCACCGCCCCCTGTGACTGCCTGGCCCTCCAAGTCCCCACGGGGGGTGGGGTGTCAGCCACCTGGTCCCCGGGAGACGCGGCCAGCATCATGGCTCTGAGCACAGATCGTGCCCAGTGCCTGAGCTGGCTGCTCGGAGGCTGCACTGCTCCCTGTCTCCAAGAGGAGGCGCTGTTCGTCTGTCTCTCCATCCCGGGGAGCCGCCTCCTGCACCCTCCCCTCCCCCAGTTCTAGCACTCAGTGAGCATCTGGGACGAGTGGTGCTTCTAGCGCCTCCTGCTGGGATGCGATGCCCGACTCTCCCCAGGGGAGAGAATCCACTCGACATCCGCTGGGCTAGCGCAGCCTGGGTGGGTCCCTGGGCCAGGCTGAGGTGCTGCGGGATAGCTTAATGCCAGTTGGAATGGTGCTGAGTGCCGTGGGATAACCTGCCACTCGCCTGCCCCTTCCTCCCATTCCCCTGGCAGCGAGCTCCCTGCTCGCTCCCCCTGGAGCAGACCCCACCCCGTCCCCCTGGCAGCGAGCTCCCTGCTCACTCCCCCTGGAGCAGACCCCACCCCGTCCCCCTGGCAGCGAGCTCCCTGCTCGCTCCCCCTGGAGCAGACCCCACCCCGTCCCCCTGGCAGCGAGCTCCCTGCTCACTCCCCCTGGAGCAGACCCCACCCCGTCCCCCTGGCAGCGAGCTCCCTGCTCGCTCCCCCTGGAGCAGACCCCACCCCGTCCCCCTGGCAGCGAGCTCCCTGCTCACTCCCCCTGGAGCAGACCCCA